TCCCTTTGGCTTGGCCGGGCTTCCCTCTTGATCCAGATGACCCCTTATGGGGACTCCGGGGTGGTGCTGGTAGAAACTGAGCCTGTGCATCTGACTGTACCAGTTCCCTGTATTTACAAATGATAGTGTTTACTGCGAATCTCAGTAGATTGAAAGTCATGTATCGGGCCCACAGAAATCATCCCATTGGCCCCAAACATCAGGAATATAAAAAAAACCCATGGGATATTTTTTTTATTCTATGTCTTGACTTTTTAGATTCCATCTGTCCTCAGCCAGTGTGTGTGAGAATATCAGATTAAAAAGTGACTTGTTAATGTCCACAGAACACATACTTCTCTCTGGCAGCTTAGAGATGCCATTTAGCCTCCTCATTCTTAAGACGGGGAGCTACCATCCATTTCCTGTTACCATCTTGACTTTCCCCCCTCCTATTTCATTTCCTTTGCTAAAAGGAGAGCTGGATGATAAATAGTTTGAGAGCTTCTGACCTAATTAATGCACCATGATTTACACTCCCCGGTAGAACTTATATTACTTGGTAGGGTTGATGATTACAGCTACTCATAATAAAGAAATTCTCTCATCACTCATATCAGCAGTAATGTCATAGACACATTAGATACATTTTTAAAAATAATACGTATTGGTTTAGCCTTGTGCAAGGGATAAATTCTCTGACTCCCACCCATTTCTCTGCCCGAGAGTGGGCAGCATTGCTCCTCTTCTGCTCTGCTTCGTGCTCCAGAACCTCATTCCCCTCCTTCTGCCTCCTCCCTTCCCATCCCATCCCTGCCTCCCCACACTCTATACCATAGAATCAGAGAATCTAAGGGCTGGAAGAGTCCTCAGGAGTCATTCAGTCCAGCTCCCTGTGCAAAGCAGGACCAACCCCAACTCATACCTGCTGTCCTGGCTCTGACTCCCTGGGCTCCAGAGCCCACCCTCTTCTCCTCCATTTCCCTGCAATTCATGGTGCTCCTTCCCTCTCCCCATCTCCCTTTCGCCATGTCTCTGCTGCTTCTCACAGCCCATGTGCCCCACTTATTCCCCTGAACCACAGAGTGGTGCCCATTTTGCCTATAAGCATTGCTTGGTGAAGGTTTCAAGCAAACACAAGGTAAATGGCAGCATCTTTCTGGCTTCATTCAGCCTCTTTGACAGTTGTAGGACATAATGGACATTCTGAAGGGAACATTTGTGGGTTGGCGCCTTTCATCATGTTTCCATTGGATAAGTTGAAACCTCCTCAGAATTGCTGGAATCCCAATCGGATGGCAATGGCTGGCAGTCTTGTCTGCTCTGCTATTGTCGATTGGTAAAGTGCCTCCCAGGTCTCTATCAGCCTTATGTTCCGAGCACAGGCACGGTTGAGGTCTGGTGAGCTGCAATACCTAAGCTTAACCAAGCTGAATCAAAAGGCCTTAAAGCATAAAGAGCCTCATTCTGAGCTCTGCTGGTGCCTTTTTACGCCACCCTGAAAGATTGATAAAGTCTTGAATTGAGCAGAAATAGGCTTCTGGGCAGGGCACCTCCCAGCCCTCCAGCTCAGGGAAGTTCTCAGCTCAGTATAGAGCTAGTCCAAAGGCTTTGCCCTGGTCCTGCTTCTGATCTGTGGAACAGGGTAAATGGAGACAAGCGTGTCTGGGATATGGCTGAAACACTGCACTACTGCTGTTTGCGGTGGAGCCACCAGATGCAGAACATAAAATGGATCAGGCCTGGGATTATCCTAATCTATGTGTGAGTGTCATGCAGACCATGTGCAACCCCAGAATATGGGGAACCCAAAAGTGGCTTAGTCAGTTCTTCTGGGATGCCTGTTCCAACTACAGTAGTAGAATAAGAATCTGGCCCATGGAGTTTGAAATCTTTCCCAACTTTATTCATAAATTATAGCCAAAACACTTTGAATTAAAATTTCTGCTTTCACCAGATAGTTCCAAAGTTGAGTCAAAGCAAAGAGGACTAAAGGCACCTGTAAATGGTGTCTCATGTGGTTTTTGTAGTGTCCTTTTTAATGACTGTCAGCTTTAGTTAATCAAAATTACTTTTATACTTGGCTTCCCTGATTTCCAATTAGTGTTTATTTATTGAGCAGCATTGAGCTTTTGGGCACTTGAACAGGGAGCATGGATAACTGGCAAACAATCAATGTGCTCATGAATACCCCTCTGGTTCAGAATGTTTGTGTTTTCTTTTCATTAACAGTTCTACTAATCAGATACATGTCTAAATTGTTCCCATCTCAGCTTAATATTTTTTTCTATAATTCTCATCCCTCTTGAGAGCTTTCCTTTTAAGAGTTCGTTTAAAAGAAAACTCTTGTGTATTTTGAAATATACCCTGATCAGCACATCTAATTGCAAAGAGCAAATCACTTTAAAAGAAAATGTTCAAAGCCTGATTTTTAGCCTGGCCTACCTTTTTGTAAGCACGAATAAATGTTGGCACAGCTGATGTCATTGTGGTGTGTGACTACTTGGGATGTACACAGAATTGGGCAATGACATTAGTTGTGCCTGCAGACAATTAAAAGTGCAGTTACATGCATCTGCAAATTACCAGCACAAGAAGGTAGCTTGTGTTTTAAGACTCAGGCCCTAAATGTCATAAACACCAAGTCATAAAGAAACAATTAACCATAAAAGAAGCAGCTGCCATCGTGATTTGGAGGAAGACTGAAAGAAAGTACAAGCTGTCAATGTGCATGGGAAAACGGGCGGGCACAGGAGTTATAGTCACGTAAAAAGCTTTGCTTAATTTCATAATAACTTAATAATGTTAAATTAGCCTGTTTGGTTTGTTAAATGAAATTTACCTTACAACAGTTCAGGCAGTCCCAGACAAATCGGTCAGATCTTCTCTCCTTTCAGACCTAGTTTGCACTACCAAGCTAGATCTTTCTCCTCAAAGCTAAGTTCTTGTGCAAGACCATGCGTAGCTCTTGGGAGTTAAGTGGCACTGTGGCAAGTATAAAGATTGTTCTGAAAATCTATTTTTAAAAATATATCAGTGGGTTTGTCATTTAGCAAATATAATTGCTGGACATTTCTGATAAGATTTGTCCCCTCCCAATCTTCAAGCACTTATATAACTAAATGTACTGCTGCGAGTAAATCCCAATTGAAGACCGTGGTACTAGTAGTGGTAGTAAAATAAAGCAATTACACAAGAGTATGTGGGATCTGGGGTCTTGGTTTCTTTTTTCCCCGATAAAGAAGCAGTAAAAGTCCACTAGAATTCTCAGGTCTTCCTTCCTTTCTCCTCTAAATGACTTTTTAAACAACTTCAGTGATGCTCTTGTTTCCAGTCCTGTAGTCAGATCTACAAATGCAGACTCTGTTCAGCATGAGAGGTTGTGTGCGTGGCTCTGACTGCAGTATTGAGCCTCACTGCAGAGATTTGCATGGATTTCCTCAGTGAGGGGATGAGTGAAACTTCATGCAGCCACGGGCATTAAGGGAGACAGGAGAGAAGAGCACATTACGTTTTCATAGATGTTTGAAACCTGCCACCACCAGCAACACTGCACAAGTAAGGATAGCATGGCATCAGGGGCTCCTGACTCTTACCATTAGGCATGACAACCCACCACCTGGTCCCTATGTGTGCTCCCTTGAATGAAAAAGACGAAAAACAAAACCACTGTATTGTGTACGGGCAAACATGTTTCACAAAGCAGTCACTCACTTCATATCTGACCTGTCAGTCCTCACTCTCAATAGAAACCTGCATGATACCTTCAAAAGACGACTCTGGGAGCTTAAATGTCTAACTTTGATAGACACTACAAATCCTGGATGCAAAAAAGACACTGGACACTGACTCATTACAACAATGTGTAACCCACAAACCCTCCTTTGTCCTCTGACCACAGAGATGTGACCTCTGCACATAACCTTGAATGGTTTCTTTCAACTCCTCAAGCTTCACAATTTGTTCCACCTTGCATTGAGCTGTTTCGCTCAGATTGCCTTTCCCAGACCTGAAGAATAGCTTCCTGTAGCTTGAAAACTTGTTTCCTTTCACCGGCAGAAGTGGATCTAATGAAAGCGAATATCTCCCCCACCGTCTCTCTCAACTCTCCTGGGACCAGCATACATCTTCCCGTACAGATGAGCGTTGAACCCTCCTCCACCCGCAAACTGACCAGGCTCACAAGGCTTTCAGTAGCCTCTGCTGTTCACCTCAGAGCACCATTTTTGGTGAGGGCTGTTGTATTCCAGTCAGCACCTCTTCTCCCTCTGGCATGGGCCTTAGCTGAATTAGGAAGAGGGAACTGGACAGAACATGACATCTACTGATTGCTCCTGCTAGCCAAGTTAATGGTAGTGGTTCTGAATGCTCCTTAGGCCTAATCTGTGGGGCAAAAGAAGAACCCTTCCCTCAGGGTGGCCACTGTTGCTTGGGAAGGTGGAGTTCCCACAGCGGCGGAAACCCTCTTGTGTCACTATAATCTGCGTCTACACTATGGAGTGTTTGGTGTCATAGCTCCACACTCTGGCGACCAGCTTCAGCCCCAGTGGCACAGACAAGCCCTTAGTCTGGTTAACCGAGGCATTTGGCTCGTAGTGCTGAAGTAGATATGACGTATGATCGTCGTTTGTGAGCCTTTCAGTTTTTATTCAAGATAATGAAATTAACCTTCAAGGGTACATTTTGAGGAAGGTTTGTGGGGTTTTAACCTTTGCAATTTCATATTAATGACAAGGCTGAAATTGTGCCCTTAAAGGTGTGCCCAAGTTAGGGCAGTAAGTCTTATCCCACTTTGAAATGATGTCTGCATTGTTGATTCTTAACACTGGCCTCCATTAACTCTGTCCTTTTTCAGTGCTTCCCATGCTATGATGCTTTCTAAGCAGTGAGGCATCCATATTCAATCCCACTCCATTTACTACGCACACGCCTTTGTCAGAGTTGCTTGACCGGCTCCAGTTCTGTGACTGTTAATGCCTTTGCAGGCTGCTTGAATACATTGGTGGGTTTTTATTTCCTAGGAGTTGAGAACGGAATCCATTGCGAGACCTCTGGAGATAAACGAGACTGAAAAGGTGATGAAAATTGCCATCAAAGATGTTCTGGTAAGCAGATTGCTGTTCATTAATTTGCTTTATTATTAATTTTTATTGTACAGAATTTCCATTCCAGCTGTCATTTGTGTAGGTAGAACAAGATTCATTTTTACCAGTGAATAGGAATTGGAAAACATATGTATGTATGGCTTGTATCCCACTCCAAGAGCAGCGTCAACAAATAATATTGAACTGCAGTTGATAGCTCAGATAATCCACCACATCTTTGCTCCTGGCAAATGAATAAATACAAGTTCTCCAACAGGGAGGTTCATTTGTGTTCACCTCTCTCTCCACGTAAATAAAGTGTGACCCTTAATAACATATTTTTCCTTGGGAAATCTGTTGGTTTTAAGACAAACTCAACCCTTGAATTGAAACAGCTGACTTTGTGTAGGCCCAGGTATATGTGTCCTATTGACTCCTGGCTGGTTTTCAAAAGCCACAGTCTGTCTATAGTGCTGCACTGTGCCAGCAGCAGCTCCCATCATTTGCTCAAATTTACAGAAGTGCCTTAAAGGCAGTGGGCAAATCAATGCTTCCGTGATCTGGGGGATCTTTCACCCCCTTTAGCAAAGCACTGCCTACACTCACTCTTCCCCTGAAGTAGCATCTTGTCTGCCACTGTGGAAGAGAGCAGGTCTCTTTCCCACACCCTTTGGACTTTGTATACCTTTGAATACTGGCTAAACAAGGATGGGATTGTGCTGCATAGGGCAAGCATGCATGCTTGGCTGGCTATTGTCTATTGATAGTGTAACGAAAACCAGAGCACGTGTGTTAAAATACATGATCTTTGCCGAAAGGCCGAGAGCCTTTTGAATAACTGTGTTTTGGGGAGAAGAGATCTGGCAGATCTCTTCAGTTACCCCCTTCGGTTTTCCATCCTCCATGGACGTTTTTCCCTGTCCGGGTTGGCCGATGAAGTGTCCACAGAAGCCTGGCAGTGCTATTCCAATCCTCCACTGGAAAGAGCCAGTAGACCAGCGGTCTCTCACCTTTCTAACCACCAGGTCACTTTTTGAATTTCAGTGCAATGTAAGATCTACCTCAAACCCAGATACCCTTGCCCACTTCCTTCCCACCCCTTCTCTGAGGCCCTGCCCCTCCTCCACCCCTTCTCCGAGGCCTCACCCTGCTCACTTCATCCCCCCTGCCTCCAAATCCTCTCTCACTTTCACCAGGCTGGAGTAGGGCGTTGGGATGCAGGCTCTGGGCTTGGACAAAGGGGTTTGGAGTGCGGGATTGGGGTCCAGGAGGGATTTCAGGGTGCAAGCTCTCAGAAGTGTTTGGGTGCAGGGGGACTCATTTCTGGGGCAGGCAGTTGGGTGTAGGAGGAGGTTCAGAGCTGGGACAGTGGTTCAGCAAGCAGACTGGCTGGACACCGTTTAACTGAGACGGCTTCTTGTTTGGGTGCAGGGGGACTCATTTCTGGGGCAGGCAGTTGGGTGTAGGAGGAGGTTCAGAGCTGGGACAGTGGTTCAGCAAGCAGACTGGCTGGACACCGTTTAACTGAGACGGCTTCTTGATGGTGGAGCAGTGGGGTTAAGGCAGGCTCACTCCTGCCCTGGCACCACTCCAGGAAGCAGCTGGCATGTACAGCAATGGCTTCATGTGCTGCCCTTCATCTCCAGGCACTGAACCCACAGCTTCTACTGGCCACGGTTCCCCATTATTGATCAATTGGAGCTGCAGGAGTGGTGTCTGGAGAACAGCAATTACCACAGGGATAATGACTTCAGCTACGACTGGCTCGGTACTTTAGAGCTCACGACTCAAAGAATTAAATGTAAGCGTAAGAGAGAAATCAAAATGATGAAATGCACAGACTAGTCAAAACCAAAACATGACCCACTTTGCAAGCAGTGAAAGAGGTAACAACAACCCCCCACACGTGTGTTGGGTCAGGAGATGAGAGGGAGGGACAGTCTGTGTTTGTGAGAATGACAGACACACACACACACTGTGTGAGAGCGACAGAGATTTGCATTGCCAAGCTCGCTCCGTCCCCTTCTCTCTGTGTGGAGACAAGGTACAGAAGTGGGGGGAGGAGGGACACCCTGACATCAGCACCCCCCTCACCTCCCTCCCACACCGTGCACAGCAAGCAGGAGGCTCCCAGGGGGCAGCTCCAAGGCAGGGGGCAGGAGGAGCATGACAGTGGGTAGAGGGGCAGCTGAAGTGCCAGAGCACAGAGCACTCCCGCCCCATCCAAACGCTGCGTGTCCCATCTCTGCCACTCCCTTGTGTCTCTGAATGGCCAGGAGATAGCTGAGCAGGGCAGGTCTCTTATGGTAGGTCTGCCCTGCAGCATAAGCTTGTACTTGATCCCTGGCACAAGGCTAACTCCCCTTGCATCTATACACTGCAGTTGTCCTGACCCAGGGCCCTAGGGCCCTGCAGGGCTGGAGGGACCCAGGATCTGAGTCCTATTGCATTGCAGTGCAGCCACAGCCAGTCAGTAGGTAGTATCCCACAATTCCAGAGGACAACTGTTGAAAACAGAAGCCCCTTCCCCCTTTGCAAATGGCAGCAGCTCAGGTCAGCGTTAAGCCATTCTGTTTTGGTCAGCAATCTGCAAGCACACTTGGGGTATGTCTACACTACCACTCTAGTTCGAACTAGGGTGGTAATGTAGGCAACCGGAGTTGCAAATGAAGCCCGGGATTTGAATTTCCCGGGCTTCATTTGCATCTAGTTCGAACTAAGCTTCCTATTCCGAACTACCGTTACTCCTCATTTCACGTGAAGCCTAGTCCGAACTACCTAGTCCGTGCCGCATGTAGCCGCGCGGCACGGAGTCCGCACTAGCGGACATTTAAAAATGGCGGCGCCCGGCGAGATGCAAATGAAGCCTGGGAAATTCAAATCCCGGGCTTCATTTGCAACTCCGGTTGCCTACATTACCACCCTAGTTTGAACTAGGGTGGTAGTGTAGACATACCCTCGCAGAGTAGCCTCCTGCGTTTGCCTTTTGTAAGCCAGCTGCTTCCTGGTAATGCACAGGGCAGGCAGTAAAGCTTTCCCATTTTTCCTAGGGCTGGAATGGCACTGGGGTCTCTGGGAGATGGTTACTTTGACTCAAGTCTGTGCCATGCAGATGCCAGAGCCTCTGGTTTGAGCACTGAACAGAATAATATTAATTTAGGGTTACAATACAGTGCAGATGCTTAGGTCCAGCCCTACCATTGATCAGCTGACTGGAGTCTCACTAACTGACTTACGTTGCAGGGTGGACACACACATTTTAAATTCTCCCACACTACTCCACTTGGAAGAGAAGAGGTCTGTTTCCAAGCTGGCGGTGGTGCTGACCCTACATTGTAACTGGGGGAGCATTTAGCTTTAGATCAGTAGGATTTCAAAGTGACCGAACCTGAGGATTAGAATGGAGGTATGGGGGTGCCTGGCTCTGCGGAAGAGGAGGGGGATTGGGTTAGAGCGGGGGGCTGGGAGTGCCTGGCTCTGAGGGAGAGGAGGGGGATAGAGTTAGAATGGAGGTATGGGGGCGCCTGGCTCTGGGGGAGCGGAGGGGGATTGGGTTAGAATGGAGGTATGGAGGCGCCTGGCTCTGGGGGAGAGGAGGGGGATTGGGTTAGAACGGGAGTATGGGGGCGCCTGGCTCTGGGGGAGCGGAGGGGGATTGGGTTAGAATGGAGGTATGGAGGCGCCTGGCTCTGGGGGAGAGGAGGGGGATTGGGTTAGAACGGGAGTATGGGGGCGCCTGGCTCTGGGGGAGCGGAGGGGGATTGGGTTAGAATGGAGGTATGGAGGCGCCTGGCTCTGGGGGAGAGGAGGGGGATTGGGTTAGAACGGGAGTATGGGGGCGCCTGGCTCTGGGGGAGCGGAGGGGGATTGGGTTAGAATGGAGGTATGGAGGCGCCTGGCTCTGGGGGAGAGGAGGGGGATTGGGTTAGAACGGGAGTATGGGGGCGCCTGGCTCTGGGGGAGCGGAGGGGGATTGGGTTAGAATGGAGGTATGGAGGCGCCTGGCTCTGGGGGAGAGGAGGGGGATTGGGTTAGAACGGGAGTATGGGGGCGCCTGGCTCTGGGGGAGCGGAGGGGGATTGGGTTAGAATGGAGGTATGGAGGCGCCTGGCTCTGGGGGAGAGGAGGGGGATTGGGTTAGAACGGGAGTATGGGGGCGCCTGGCTCTGGGGGAGCGGAGGGGGATTGGGTTAGAATGGAGGTATGGAGGCGCCTGGCTCTGGGGGAGAGGAGGGGGATTGGGTTAGAACGGGAGTATGGGGGCGCCTGGCTCTGGGGGAGCGGAGGGGGATTGGGTTAGAATGGAGGTATGGAGGCGCCTGGCTCTGGGGGAGAGGAGGGGGATTGGGTTAGAACGGGAGTATGGGGGCGCCTGGCTCTGGGGGAGCGGAGGGGGATTGGGTTAGAATGGAGGTATGGAGGCGCCTGGCTCTGGGGGAGAGGAGGGGGATTGGGTTAGAACGGGAGTATGGGGGCGCCTGGCTCTGGGGGAGCGGAGGGGGATTGGGTTAGAATGGAGGTATGGGGGTGCCCGGCTCTGCGGGAGAGGAGGGGGATTGGGTTAGAGCGGTGGGCTGGGGGTGCCTGGCTCTGGGGCAGCGGGGGGGAGAATTGGGTTAGAGCAGCGAGGCTGAGTGCCTAGCTCTGCAGGAGGAGGGGAGGGCATTGGGTTAGAGCAAGGGGGTTAAAGCACCTTAAACTCAAAGTCTTTGTGGATGCAAATAACACATTTACACATCAAATTATTGTATTATAGTCAAACAAGACCTGAAAAATATGATAAAGTATACCTAAAACATAATCTACAATAATAAATAATTACGACTTTCCGATAGAAGTACATTTTCTTTGGGGGCCCTGAAAGCTATCCATTTTCGTTAGTGCGGCCCTCAGTAGGCTTCGAGTTTGACATGGCTAGTGTAGGCAGACACTGCCCATGCTGCTCTGGGGTTACACCCATCCAGAAGCATAGCTGCCCTCCCAGCTGGTTTGTAAAGGACTCAAGGCCAAACAAATTAAATTATTGAACTGCCAACTGTATCCAACACCTGTGTGTATAATGAGAGGAAGCAGAGCTCCAGGTTTAACTACCATGCCAAATCAATAGATACACTAGGTGATCCCTCCATTTGCTTTTTCTGCTGTTTGCAGTCTCTGTGCATCCCACGTGCTGTTAATATGGATTGATATCTGGGGCAGTGAGTCTTATAAGCCAGTCTCGGCATATTAGAGTGGATAGTTCATGGCAAATATCAATAATGCAATCCCACCTCAGCTGGTTAGTTGCAGACCAATTAATGAAATGATCTAGGGTAGCTGAACAGCATATAACCTTCACTGCTGGCATTTTAGCAAACACATCGTTCTTTCTCAATTAAGCCACTCTCAAACGATCCAAGTTTCAAAGATGTAAATGCTTTGAACATACCCAGCACATTTTAACATGCTTGAAGGGGATTTTTTTTTTACTTTCTCTTTTCCTGATTGCAGTTGAGTACATAGCACTATTCTGACTGCAGTTTATTTTGGAAAAGATGGCCATGGCAGGGCTATGAAAAATCAAAGCGCTCAAGACCGATTATGTTCTTTTTTGCTGTGGTAGTTGTCAGGAAGTAGCAGTGATCCTGTCGATCACTGCCAGCTTCTAGCAAACAGGGGTTGGAGACCTCATCCCTGCCCTTCCTGGCCAACAGCCATTGATCTTCCATGAATTTAGCTAGTTCCTGGGTGTGGGCCATGCAATAGAGAGAAGATTCTCTGCTTGCTCCTATCCACTGCACCTGGGCCCAAGAATCTGAATGCCTGGTAGTGATTTATAGCACCAGCCCTCTCATTTTTATGGTCCATTGTACTTCATATTAGAAGACTTAATAGGGTGGGGTTAGGAGTTGGGGAGGGAGCTGGGCCAGAGGTGGGGCATGGAGTGGAGTATGACAGCTATTCAAAAGTGCATTGCAGTACCATGCAACGGTTTAGGACAGGAACTGAAGAACACACTAGCCAGTTGTAAATGCAGAATGCATGCATGCATGTTTGATCCCAAGACAATGGCATTGGCTTACTTTCATGTTGTGTCAGTGCTCAGCTGTGCAGAATAATGATCTTTCTGATGCTGTCAGTGAGACCTATGGCATATGATTGTAATAAGAATGTGACACACGGGAGACCTGGTGGGAGACTGATCTTGCCTGAGCCCGATCACAAGACGTGGCTCAAAGTTACAAAACTCTGTGATGACACAAGGTGCAAGATAATGCATAATTGGACCCGGAGTCTGAAAGATGATTGGAGCTACACTGCTACAAGCCACGGCTCAGCCACTCATTCTCTCTTCCAGGAGCAAGTCCAGAAGACAAGGGACATGTTGAATAACGTGGCCTCGGATGAAGCCAACTTGGAAGCCAAGATTGAAAAGAGAAAACTGGAACTGGAAAGAAACCAGAAGCGACTACAAACCTTACAGAGTGTCCGGTAAAGACTGTACCATTTATCCTTGCAGAATTGGTAAAAATGGTGTCAAAGCATATTCTTAATGCCCAGTGTAATGGGGATTGACTAAGCTGTTAGGACTCCAAGAAACATGCTTCTGCTCACCTGAGGAAGAGGGTTTTGCCCATGAAAGCTCTTGATGCTGTAGTTATATTTATATTTGTTAGTCTTTAAGGCGCTACAGGACTACTTGTTGTTTTTCCAATCAATGTGATAGCCTCTGAGGAGTGCAACAAATAAGATGATTTGCCATTGCAAAAATGCCCAAGCTAGGCTGTAATGATTAGTTTTCCAGTCATTGGGTTTGGAAACTAACAAACATTTTGTCATTGTTAAGGTGGCCAAAATGTTACTTTATTTCTAAATTGTCACTCCAGGTTTTCAAAATGATGAGCCTTTAAAAAAGTCATTCAACCCAAATGGTATCTCTGCGCATGGAAGCTCCCAAGAGAAATAATGGTGAAACGTTCTGCTCACACACCCCAGCTGTTGAGTTCTAAGATGTCTCCAACTTTACAGCTGCTGGTGGGTAGTAGATGAAGAAACAGGTCACGCGGCAGTCAAACGTTAACTCGAACTAAGTCCTCCGTGTAGCCGTGGGCAGTTAGTTCGGACTAAGGGGATTTTAAAATGGCGCCCGGACGGGAAGTTACAAATAAAGCCTGGGATATTTAAATCCCGGGCTTCATTTGCAACTTCGAATGCCTTCGTTAGCCTCCCTAGTTTGAACTAGGGGGCTAGTGTAGACATACCCTCAGAGATCTTGTGTTGAGCATAAGCACTTCCTTCATCTGTGAGCTCACTGATGAGATAAAATAAGGAAGTTGGGGTGGGGGAAGTGCCTGTGTTGTTTGTATGTAAATCTCGTGGTTAAAAACCCTGACTTTACAAGATGGAAGTGTCTGGGGTGGGCGTGGGCAGCCGAGCAGAACTGGTGTGCGTGGTACAAGAGCATCCTTCTAGCACAGGTTTGCCTGAAGGCTCATTGCTGGTGGAGGACAGGCACTCAGCCAGCCACATTATTAGGACAATTCTGTTGCAGAGAATTAACATATCTTGGCAGGCACAGATAGCAAGCCTGCTGGGGCCTGGACGGATCAGCAGGAAAACAAATTTCTTGCTAGTGTTGTCCTCGCTGCCAGGGTAAAATGCCACCCTTCTGCTTATGTGGGCGGGTGTGGTAGAAGGCTGCCTGCCATTCTCCTTTGTCCTTGCACACCTGTGCAGTCCAGGGTAGAAAAGCAGAGCAAAGCCGCGGAGCACGCGGGCAGCGGACAGCCCAGACACGTCTGGGCTGCCCGCGTGTTCCGCCGCTTTGCTTCCTCTCCCTGGTCTGCTGGAGACCAGGGAGAAGGAGGGCCCCGTTCATAACTGCGGATCCGACATAAGTCGGATCCGCGTAACTCGGGGACTGCCTGTATTTCGAAGTAACGGGCTGCTTCAATAGACGTGGAATAGCTATTTTGGGATACTTCCGGTATCCCAAAATAGCTCCGCAGTGTAGAAGTACCGTAAGGGCTAATAGTGTAGAAACACAGAGAGACCTGAGAAAATGAACGTATATAATGCAGCATTCTGCAGCTTCCAGTCATTTTCCTTTCTGTGGGCTCTCCAGACCGGCCTTTATGGATGAGTACGAGAAGATTGAGGAGGAGCTGCAGAAACAGTACAGCAGTTATCTGGAAAAATTCCGTAATCTGGCCTATCTGGAACAGCAACTGGATGATCATCACAGGCTGGAGCAGGAGAGGTTTGAGGTGAGAAAGTTTTGTATTTCTGGACAATACAGTCATTTAACTAAATGTGTTTTTTATCCTCTGCCCCATGATGCATACCACTGTCTGTTACCTAGCAATAGCCAAAAGGACTTTTCTTGCCTCTTGCTGCTTCCGACAACAACATGCTGTCCCTGAATGCAGACCCTCAGAGCTGTGTCTCCAGTGATAAGGTCATTGGCTTCGTGTTGTCTAGTTTTGAATTGAGGGATCTCGAGCCGACAAGAGAACACACTGTAACTCCTGAGTTAATGGAGTTAAGCTGTTGTAAAATATGCATAAATTAGATCAGCAGCAGGCAACTGCTGCCTTTTCCAATCACTGCAACTCTTCCCCTTGCGTCTTTTATTTCTCCATTTGTATCCCACATATTTGCCATGGTTCATGGAAAACTAATTTTCAGCAGTTCTGAACTCCCACTGTCTAGTTCTTTTAAAGCCAGTGGGCGCAGCTTGCAGCTTGACAGTGGGTGTATTTACACTTAGGAGGTACTTTCTATATCCTTAAGGCATCTCTACATGGCATACCAGGTTATTCTCCAGCTCCCCAGCTTGTTTCATAAAGATAACATCTTGTGTGGACACTGCCACAGTGCACTGGAAGTGCCAGAGTGTGGCTGAGCATATTCCACTTTGCAAGCTCACTTTCCTGGGCACTGTTTGTGTCCACACAGCATGTTGGTGTGCAGCCAGCTGGTGCGCTGTAGAGTCACACCCCGGCTTGCAGTGCAGAAACCTGTCATGTAGACATACGCTTACTGTTTTCTCAGTGCTTTGTCAGTGAGTGTGTCTAAGACCTTGTCTATACTGGCAAATTACAGGGCAGTAAATCAGCTCCCAGGAGTCCATCCCGGTAAGGCACTTAATACGCACTAACTCCACAGTTGCTGCATTCTAGGTAAACCACCTTGACAAGAAGCATTGATCTTGCTGCACAGAGGTTACAGCACTGGGGTACCGATGTGGACAGACACCCTGGTGTACTACAGCTCTGTGACTGGCCCCCACTGCCTGTCCCACAATGCCTGTTCTTGCCTCTCTGGTTATTGGCTTGAACTCTACTGCCCTGCCTTCAGGTGACCAGCTCTCAGACCTGCTCTTTACATTCCTTGGGAATGTTGAAAGTCCCTTTCTCGTTTGCTTGGCAATGTGTGGAGTGCTGTCAGAGTTTCCGACAAGAAAGGTGGGAGGAGGAACGCCCAGCGCCCCTTATTCCACGCCATAGTGGTGCCACTCCATGGGTTTCCAGAGCTGCTCCTCTACAGTTGCTGCTAGGGCAGGGGTGGGGAACCTTTTTTGGGTCATGGGCCGCTGACCCACAGGAAAACCAGTCAAGGGCCGCACACATGTGAGAAGCAAAAAAACACTCAAACCCACACCCATGCTCCAGCCCTACGGCGGGGCAATGGGGGGGAGGGGAGAGGTGCGCTGTATCCAGTCCTGAGATTCCTCACCCCTGTGCTAGGGGAGTAACTTCTAACACTGGTGTACATGGCAAGCCTGCACACCTAATGTGGAATGTGTTTTCTGGACTTCATTATTGTATCCTTTTCAGAATCAAAAGAAGAAAAATGACTGAAGTGCTAGATAATTGCATTGAATCCCTTGCAATCCCCATTCCTCTGAACTGTCTCAACTTCTTCCTAAACACTGCATTGATTTTCCAGCCTTATTTGCCTTTTGTTCTTCCAGACAGAACTTAACGATCTTTTGGAGGAGAAATGCTAGTCAGTTCTCTTGTTATGTTTGCCTGCGTGTTTTGTTAAATAGCTTGCTAGCAAAATGAGCAACTGTTGTATAATTAGATTAACTCAGCACCCCCAGGAGCCATTCAATATTGAGAACTGTTTCCTACTTGACCTTCCTCGAACAAATGAATGGTTTGTAGGGTGTAATCTCACTCCAGCCTAGGCACTGGTTGAATAATGAGACAGTAATTTCTAGTGCAGTTAGACACAAAGCAGTTACATGTACTGTACTGATGTTTCCTAATTAGAAAAGTGTTTTAAAGATTGCACCCAAGTGCAGGTTTTTTAATTAAAGTGGCACTGAGCAGATGACACGCATCATCCCATTCAAACCACGGTGCTGTTATCGACTCATTTCAAAAGGATGCAGTTTTATAAAGAGGAGTATGTTGTAGCTTTAATTATACTAGTCCCCAGCCTCCTGTTCATCCCCCCGACAGTGTGTGTAATAACATCCAGTAGCGCTGGCAGTTTAACTTGATTGCACCAGTAATCGTCCCCACCGTGTAAGAACGTGTTTCTCAAGTGCAAATCCTGGGGATTGAACTTCCCAAAGCATTTAAAAACTCATCGTCTGGATCCTGAAACTTTTGTTCTGATTTAAGCAAATATTTTAGTTTGCTGGCAGCACCCTACCTTCCTGAATGGCTACCCCACTGTTTATAGTGCGCTAGTGTGAGTATGTCTGTACCGCTGGAATCACATCCCTAGCTCCAAGTCTGGCTAAACCCAGAGTGCGTCTCACTTTATCTTTTATAGAAGAGGGGTTTTACTGACCTTGGCAAAGTGTTTGAGATCAATGGAAGAAAACCCTGCAAGTGCTAAGCTTTAATAAAAGCTTTTAATCATATACAGTTGAACCTGAGATCACCCTTACTAGGAAACCACAAATATCTGGAGTACATTTCTGTTCCACCACTGTTCATTAAACCATTGATTCTTCATCAGTGCTCACTTAAAATACATTCCACTATTTTCAGTGCAGCTGTCCCTGTAGTCTGAGTGCTAGCTCTGGCCTTGAGTCAGTGCTGTTCATTTTGTGCTTTTGATACATTTTGCACTGACCTACCTGTCCTATTAGAAAGATTTAATCTGTAAATCCCCACCACACAGGCTCCTTATTATAGCAGTCAGACACAAGGTTAATATGAAAAGCATTTGGTCATTGTCTTCAATTCTCTAGCTAAGCACATTTAAATCACGCGTATTTAGTAGCATTCTTACAGGCACCAGGAGACCACTTCAGTCCAGTGTAGCTGAATGTTACTAAATATCTGATTTAAACATAGACACAGAATCTTAATTATGAATGGCTTCTATGTTGGCAGTGCTTAGTCTGGTGTGCGAGTACGATGGCCTTGGAGTGCAGCTCCTCATTTTCTTGTCCCATGGGAAAGATATTTCGGAGTTTAACCCTTTACCATACAGGTCAGCACACAATCAACCATGAATATGAATACATGCTGCAAATGTCTGAATGAAGCAAGGTCTTACACTCAATTCCATGGCAGTTCTCTATGTCTGTCTGTAACATGGTTGCTTTTGAACGCCATGTCGGATCAATTCCAGAATTCCAGGCCCTGAAAGCATCTGAAACCCTGAGCCCTGTGACCCAAGAGGTCTTTATCCCAGAGCCCCGACCCCTGAACCTGTATTTGAAAATATAGAAAACCTCCAACTGAAATCCATGGTAGGCGAATATTGATTAACAGTGCAATTAAAACTGCAATTAATCACGATTCATGTTTAATTGCTTGACAGCCCTAATTTAAAGTGACTCAAGGATGGCAGGGTAGGACAGAGAGAGGAGCACTGGTTTGGGGGAGCAGACAGAGGTGGGAACCAAGACTGATGGAGCTGGTAGGAGGACTCTCATACGCACTGTAGGTCAGAGAGCCCCCCAAAGAGCTTTGAATTACATCAAAAATGGAGAGGCAACTCGTGAAGGTCATGGTCACCTTGCTGGGGTGATTGAATCCAGTCTGCATGTGACTGAAGTTTACAAAACAGAGATTTAGAAAGAGTGCAGCAGCCAAGGGCGGAGTTTTGTAGTACATGGATACTTCCACAGCGGCAGGAGCACGGTGGAGATGTATCCTGGCAGGGATTCAGGGGATGCTACAGACAGAAATGGTGGAAGGGAAAGGACGATTACAAGATTTCTGCCTAGAAGTAAAAATCTGAATACAGGAGAATGATAACTAAGTCAGGCTGTGTCCAGACTCCATGCCTCCGTCGACGGAGGCATGTAGATTAGCCAGA